TTTTTATCTTTCCCCTTGTTAAAACAGGAGTAAATTGTGTATAGACGGTAAGAAGTCTTCCAGGGTGCGGTTCATAATAACAGCTCAGGAAGCTGGAAGAGAATGAGATGGAAGGGTATGTTCACTGCTACAAAGAAACCCAGAATGCAGAGCTGTTTTGTGGGTCTGGAGGTGGAACCCGGGACCCCACACATGTTAAGTAAGTACTCTGATGGTGAAATACATCCCCTGTGCCAGAATTCTTGACAAAAGGCTTTTTGAAGTTTAATGACCAGATACTTTGTATCTATGAACAATTAATTAGCGGGAACCCCAGAACGAACCTCCAAACCCCAGTAAACCAATGCCATTCAAATCCCTTTTTCATCTTTCATCTGTATAAAGGGATTACAGTTTTTTGCTAAGTTCCAACAGTGAGGCTTTATGCTGTGGGGAGAACAGACAATGAAGGAAACCACATATTACGTGAAATTCAGAGCCACACTGAGACACCACTACAGACAGTGTCGCTGAACACAACAGCCGCAGAGCTTTCACTCAAAGGAAACAGAGTTCTGTTATTTCAAATTCCTACCTTTGAAAGCATTCACTGCTGCAGATGTGGAAATTACATTTGTCCCAGTTATGAGACACATAACTGTCCAGCAAAGATACACTGCCAGCAGCCATTCCTCACACCCAGGATTACGGTTGTGTTTACCTGGAACTGTAGGCACCACGTCATTATGTCAATTGTGACGGTGGTTCCACATGCTTAGGAAATTCTTGTGAAAATATGCTTTTCTCACTAAAACAAGAAACAAAAAAACTATGTATGAATGGATGCAACTGTCATAGTAAACACTTTCACTGGGCCACTATCTTGGGTTGTCCTAAGAAGTGTCTCACTCAGATCTGTCTGTTTGTACTCGTGAACTTCTAAATGGTTTACTGTCAGCTAAGTACAGCACGGGAGCTCAAAACAGCTCCACTCCTGAACCATCAGGGCTGATTCCACGAAGTTCCCAATACTATATGCTGGAGAGAGCCCTGTGGACCCAGAAACTCTTTTGTTGTGTGAGATAGTGAAAAGCTATGTCAAGCAACCCCTTTATCCCTGGTCAGCTTGCCCTCCCCTCATTACCTGAGCAAGAATTTGGGGACTTAACACCTTTAGATGTGTCTTGAATTGCTAATTCTTTACATTTCTTGCTGATATGTTTGTTTTCTCAGTTGTATAATATGAGCTCCTTGGAGGAATGAGTCAAGATTTAAAATTCCTTTATAGCTCCTGTTATACTGAAAGTGATGCCTTTGGTGCCTTTGGTGATGCTCTGTTAGTATTTCTCAAATCTCTGAAGGGATGGCTGAAACATAAGTGCAATTCGAGAGTACACATCTACACATAAACCCTGGTGTGGTCCAACATGGCACCATTACAGTGCATATAGCACAGTGACTGGTGGGCTCTGTCTCCTGGCGTAGTTCACACCCATTTTTGGGGTTAAATTATGATGGTCTTTGGGTGAGCAACATGCTGCTATCAAAAAAGAATTTGCAGTCCTTATTTTAAACCATTAATTGCGATTGACCATCAACTTCCTTTTACTCTCTGAGGTTCTTGATGAATTCTCTGACTTGCTTCCTATTCCATAGTGTATATATCTAATGGGATTCCTCAGAAAACAGAAAGACTGCTTTTGCTCCTCGGTTGTGTTAAGGTTCCTGAGAAATCAAATTTAAAGGACATTTGCTTAAAGGCATATGCTTTATATTTGAAGGCAGCCTCTTCTCTGACCTTTAAAGGAGGGAGACGGTTAGCCTGGTGCTGGAGCAAATCTCCCTGCTCCTACTCCTGGGTCATGTCCCTCTACAGAGACATAGATGTCTCACCAGGAGCAAAATTATACCCTGAGCCCCACAGGCTCAAAGACACTGTGGTCCCCTTGTCTGCTCTTTATTTCTCCTTCTAACCAGGTCTGGAATGGGTGGTTTGGAAGGAGAGAACTCAGGGTCTCTCTGACTGCTCCCCAGGGCAGAGGTATCTGTCTCTCCCCCAGTTTCTCTGTACCCAATATGCCTGTCTGGATTCTACCTTCATTTTGAGTCCTATCATCCACTTTGATCTTTTGTCCAGTGTATGGAGAAAATTTGAGTTTATGAAATACTATACAACCTCTACATAAACCACACTTGGAAAAGGAAATCCTTCTGTATCTTTGGGATTAGCGAATTGCACTACAGCACTTTTAAGTCCTTTAAAAGTGGCAAATGTGTGTTTTGGGTTTCTATGAGTGAATCAGTTTGTCTCATATGTCAAGGATTCTACACCCAACACAAGTCTCAACATAATTCATTATATTTCCCTAAAACATAATCATTCGTAAATAACACTTCCTAAATGATTCTTCTTTCTTCAAAGACGCTGAATACCATCCATTCTCTCAGGAGGGCACTATTTTAGTCTAAACTGTCCACTTACTCATGGGACAGGGAACTTCTTTCCAAAGAGAACTGAGAATCTGATGAAAGGTATATTGGTCCAGGCAGAGATGGGTCAGGTCTGTGTCTGTCCAGCTGCATGCTTGGCTCCCACCTACGTTTTCTGAGTCTTCCTTCACCCTGCAGTCAGGAGTCTTCTGACCATCCTCTCTCAGAGTTTCTCGAGGAGTAACAAAAAAAAAAGCAAAGAAAATCTTTTTGTTTTATTTTTTGATCGATATTTTTGCTTGTTTGTGAGACAGGGTCTTGCTATGGAATGCAGGCTGGCCTTGAACTCATGACTGCTCTCCTGGCTCAGCCTCCTGAGTGCTGGAATTGCAAGCATATGGCACCACACTTGGACCAAAAAACCTTTATTATTAAAATACCCTAAAACAGTTTTGCCCGAGTACTGAAATAATGATTCTGTATGTTCCAGCTAAAAGGAAAGAATTAAAAATTATCTTTCTAACAAATTATGGTGTTTTAGTATGTGTTGGCAGGATATAATGGTTACATTCATTGGACAGAATTGGTGCATGAACATTGCACATTTCCCTTCCCCTTCCTCCTGCCTCTGTCTCTAACGGATTATTGACTGACATTAGTCACAATGCTAGTGCTTATGTTCAATTCTGAAACCCTTAAACTCTGCACACCCAATGCTGATTTTAAATTTGGCATCAAATGTCATGAGTCAAGCAAATGTAATTCAATGGAAATCTATTTGTAGGGCTAATTTATTCCAGTGTAGTCACTGATCCATTATACTGCAGAAATATCTGTGTATTAGTAGTGTGCTACTCTCTTGTCCATTACCACGGTGCAAAGTACATGATTGAGTGCACCATATTACTTAAATCAGACATGTACTAATTTCAAACTATATCTGACCCTAAATCTTGTATAAAGTATTGTAAACTTACCACTACACTAATAATTTACATTACAAGATATTTAGTCACCTGCAAGATCACATTCAACTGTTACCTACATGTAACCAAAATAATTAACATTGTGAATAAGTCCATAAAAATATAAACATGGTTGTGAGCAGTTTTCAGACATGAATACTGCCCAACTGTTGAGTAGAAATAGCTTTAATATCCAGTATGGGAAATTCTCTTTGTCCTAAAGAAATTCAAAGTATTTGAGAATATCCTCCACGCATTGCCTTGTTCTGAATACTGTTGAAAAAATAAGGTCATTAATTACACAGGCACCAAAAAAAAAAACCTTGTCCTGAAATTTTCTAATTAAATCAAAATGGCAATTCATCCTCATAATTTCATTGTTACTGCCTCAGTTTCCTGCCATTGCTAAACACGCTAATAACACTCATTAAAGTTTCATATACCTTTGTAAATGTGACTCCTGTAACTATTAAACTTATCCTTCACTCTGTTTCCTGAAGCTTTTGTTATAGTTATATAAAAGCTTCAAAAACTTCTTTAGAAGTTTAAATTAGAAATTTATCTTGAACTTGAAGCTTATCGCACCTCTGTGTTTATCTGAAATTCTTTGATCTAACATCAGACTGAATTTGTAAAGAGAAGCAACAGATTTTTCTTTACAAATATTACTTCTAGAGGGATCAAAGTTCAGTGAGAAGGAAGTTTCCCAAGAGATTTAGAAAGGATTTCTTCTAGGCTGGTTTGGATAACTTTGGGAAATCAAAAGGAAGGAAAGCATGTTTTCTGAGCCAGTCGGAAAGTGCTGTGGAGAACGCATTCAAAACTGAAGCCAAAGTTCTGGGAAGCAAAATTTAATGCTTTAAAAACAAAATGCAAAACACAAATATGTATCTTTATTAGAAACGCTTGTTTTTCTCAATGGGACATGTTTATTCATTTCAATCTGCGTGATGACTATGTGAAGTTGGAAATAGAGACAAACAACAGTAAACACAAGTGAGACACATTCCACCACCAACCAGAGAAGGCGCTGTCCAGCCCAGTGGACGGGACCATGCCTCCCTCTCTTATAGAGACATACACAGGTCATTAACAAGGCGAGCTTTTGCTGGATATATTTTAAAGTGAAAAGTGAAATATTTATGCAAAAAGTCCCCTGTGCAATGCCCAAATCCTTCAGTTGTCCAGTGAGTATCTTCCATAGTGATTTTAGCCAAATCAGGACCCAAATCTACAACCATGCATCGAATCTGTTGGTGATGTCCTTTTACTGTTTTTCACTTGGCACACTTTACTTCCTGGCCCTTCCCTTACTGAATCACGGTATATGCATTGTGTCAACTTAGAAGTCTAGAAGCTTAACTAAGGGATTCAAGAGCTCTACATCTTGAGGTGTAGAGGACAAACCGATACTGTTGGAGGATATTGTTCATTGTGTCAATCTGAGAAGGTTAGAAGTTTGACTAAGTGACTCAGCAGGGGCCAGGATCCCTAGTTTGCAACATCCTCAGCCTCTGCAAGAGGAGGGCAGGCAGTGTGAGCCCTGCACCCACCCTGGGGAGCAGCCTGCACACAATAAAAGGCAAGTGAGGAGGGCCTGGTTGCTGGTTCTTGGGAGGAGCCCAGTCTTGCCTTCAGCTTGGACGTCATCTCCCGGCTTCTGGCACAGACTATCTGGCTTCTGCCTGGGACTCTTCAGCCTTTGTTGTAGACTCTTCATCCTTCTGTTGTAGATTCTTCTTCAGTGTTCTGTCATAGACCCATCGGCCTCCTAACACAGACCTGCACGGGACTCCACAGTAAGCTCAGGGCTGGACCCTTCAGCCTCCAGAGTGCGGACACCCACTGCACGGTCCCTCATCCGACTCGGTGGCTGACAACTGTAAGCCGATTTTGTAATTTCTCTTACAGTTGTATGTCTTGTGTTATATCTGTTTCTCTAGTAAACCCTGACACTGATACAACCTGTGACACCAACCTAGTGAAAACCAATTCAGGGGCTAATTGTTGTGAGGAAACCTTTCATCCTCTTGGCTTTGTGTGGTTTCTTCTCTGCAGTCTATCTTAGTTGAATCCTCCAGCTTTTTAGTTTCCAAAACAGGTAGATATATCTAAAATCTTGATAGCTCTTCCTCTGTGGTTGCACCACATAATGGGGTAGGACATCTGGTTCACCAACAGCTGGGGACACCAACTGAACTGGGATCATGACAGTTTAGCCTTCTCTGAGCGGTTAGATTTCCTTCACTCCTTGCAACTAGCCCATGTCAGGTTACCTTAGTCTTATACACACACCCGATTCCACATGAATAATATAAACATGATCTCAATACTCCTTAATAAACCTGTCCCCAGTTGGTATCATGATAATGATTTTTCTAATTATGTTTTCTTTCATCCCTAGTACTGTTACCTACTTTCCCATCTCACAAAAACTCTGTCATCTGGCAATATTTTGCTACCTTTCCTAGAGTTTTAACTGGAAAAGCAAGATAAAGGGTTGAGAGAAATAGCATAACTCTTAATTATTTTGTTCTGGCATTCTCTTTCCTCGGTGCAATGAACTCTTCTATTTCATTGACTAAGTGTGTTCCTATCACTTAATGAGACTTTTGGGTCCTGCTGATGTGTCCCTGTCAGTTTGTAAATGCTCTGTTAACTTATGACACTTTGTACCTTCTGATGCTCCCTTTACCCACATTTATCCAAGGGGTCAGGGATTTACTCACAAATAATTGAAGAAAGCCATGCACAGTGTCATGGCTACTTGGAAGGCTGAGCAGGAGGATCATAAGGTTAAAAGTATCCTGGGCAACTTAGCCAGATCCTGTCTCATAATGTAAAATTATAAAAATGAGCTGTGGATATAGCTCAGGGGTAGAGAGCTTGCATAGAATGCAAGTATCTATTAATCAATGAATAAATTAATAAACAGATAGCTAAAGTTTAAAGTTTGACACCTGAACACTTTGGTTAAGTGACATTTTAGTGCTAAATAGGGAGTTAAAAGTTATTTCTATCAATTTCTATTGTTTGAAGATATCTGAGTTATCAAAAATCAAACTACCATTAGACATGTAAAGTACATCATTTAGAATAATCACTTTATATTTGTACATGGTTAACTCAGAACAAAAAATTATCTGCCATTACACCAAGAACTATGAAAATTTGCTTAAGTAAATTTTACATATGCAGCCAGGTCTGATTCAAACTCCTTTTTCCACTTCCTTTTGCTGGAAAACTGGGTTTAGACTCCCACAACCAAGTATTTAAGCCCATCTGTCACAAAGACATCCTATAATATTCGAACTGATTCAGGGGGAGGCAGTGGGGCAGTGGTGCAGCCAGCTGGACCTGGGGCACAGAAGAGGCACTCTGCAGGAAAGCATCGTCCATCAGGGGAGAATAGCTCAGCTGATTTTCCATTCCATGAGGTCCCCAGTTCAGACAGCTGACTTCATGCAATGTGTGAGACACAGTTATTCCAAAAATTCTGTCTCAAAACCTGTTCTTCCAGAGTGAAAGGGCATCAGGTCTTCTGCAGTTATCCCCTGACTTGTGCAACACCAGTGCCACCTGCCAGGAGCTTTACGTCCACTGTTTTTTGTCTGTATTCCTTGCCTGCTATGCCTGGATCTCAGGCTGAATCAGGATCTTACATGGATGGCCACAGTCTTTACCTTCTTACTACCTAGATCATATTCAGATCCTAAGTCTCTAAATACCTGACATAACACAATCCACTTTCACTGGATGTCTTGTTTTTGTTTTTGTTATTTTAGGATCCTGAGTTCTGCTCTGACCATTGGCTCCAGTTAGTCACAATCAAATACACATTTCTAATACCCAAACCCATGATTTGGAAGTCTAGATGACCTTCATGCATGAAACATCCCATGTGTATCTCAGGAGGACCTGACTGTTTGTTATGTTTATCCCTGAAACAGCGACAGCTTCTGCTGCATGTATCTGTTCTGCTGTGTCACACATGGCTATCACACACTAAACAGTAACGGGGCTTCATGGTTGGAGTTTTTCTCTGCTTCGCTTTATTAAGAAGTGGTGGGCTAGGTTGTCTCTGCTCAAAGTTAAATGGGTTACATGGGCATTAACATTTAGCCTGTTAACATTATAATTCAACTATTTTGATCCTGAATACAACGTTGCTGTGTTCATTGTTGTTTTTCTTAAATACCTTTGCCCAGCTCTAAATAACCTGACTCTGCTCTTCTGGAGTTTGACCCAGATGATCATATATTTCAGAGTTTCCATGGTCACCATAATGTGCCGCCAATTAAGAACCCAGTATAAAACTAAGCATAGATGAGTCAAAGCATCACAGCACAGAGTTACTAAATATCTACTGTTGGTCCTCTGGGACTGGAAGAAAGTTATTTTTGAGAAGGTTGAGAGTTACAGGTAGGATTTTAAAATTTATCTTAAAAACAAAAAAAGCCCATAGAAATGATACAGCATTTTAAAAAATAGTAGGAGATTAACACTAGTTAATATATTGCATATCTTCTCCTAGAAATAGTTCTTCAGGTTACAAGATTTAGGCATGATCATTTGTTTCATGGATAAGATTTGTGAACAATTTCACTCTTAGAAAACTGAAGAGGGTTATGTAGCCAGTACAGAACAGCAAGCAAGCAAAAATCCACTCACAAAGGAATAAGAAGCATGGCCTAGAAACAGAGGGTCAGCTCATATAGCAGGAAGCCTCCCAACCAGGCAGACATGCGTCAGGCATCACATTCTTTTACTGGTCTACCAGGCTGCCTCAGACCATTGTGACATCCATGCGGAGATACAGTTGCCATGGACTGTACCTACAAATGTCCTTGTTCATTTGGTTTAAAAAAATACACAAACCATTAAGCATTCTCTCAATTAAAAAAGAGAACGATATCAGAGAAGACCTGGATTAGGATATTGACAAACATACAAGAATCACAGCAATAGATATAAATGAACCATTGAAAGATGAGAAAGAGAAGCCAAGCCTGTATGTAAAATTGCCCCTAACTGGACACTGTCCCCAAATGAGGTGGCACATTGTGTTCCAGCCACCTGAATAATGCAACTTTGTAATGAAATTTCTCCCACGTGGTTGTACCTGTGCCTATATACAAACAAAAACTACACCCTGGACTCGCCCACACCTCCTTAACCCACTGTCTCCAGAGCTGACACAGCCACCTCTTCCTGCTGGCTGGAGAAGAATGGAAAGCATTTTTCTAACCATTTAGTCAGAACAAAGAGAACAATAACAGAAATTATTATGATCACTGTCTACTTCTGTGATTAACAGGTGAGAGAATCCTGGTAATTTCTTCCCAAACAGGAATGCTTTAAGATGGTTATAAACCATTCCTCTTCTTTCTCTTTGCAACATCGTTTTATGATAATCAATGTAATCCTTAAAAGTCTTTCTCTAAACGAGGAAGAGGTGATGCTCGCTGAGCTCTGGGAGGCTTTAAAAAGCTGCGTACATGGACTAGGAAGCCCCACGGGCTCTGCCTCACTCTTGATCATGGAAGGTGACTCCAGGAGGTAAAGAGTGCAATGCTGTCCAGCCACTTGATCAATTCATAAAGAATGAAATGACAGGATGCAGCACCCACATTTCCTCCTTCTCCTCAAACTCACTTGCTTTATTGTCCCTGGGACAAAATACCCAACAGTCACAGTTTAGGGAGGAGAGGTTTTGCTTGGCTGCATGGCTGCCTCTCTAAGGCAGAGACTGTACTGTAGAAGTATCTGGGTCTGGACAGAAGAAAGCTGCTTCTGTCATGGTGGTCAGGAAGCAGAGAGAGGAGAGAGGAGCCAGAGGAGGAGATAAATCATTCCGGGTCACACCCAGTGACCCACCTCTGCCACCCACACTCCATCTCCTAACAGCAAGTCAGCTGCATCACCCCATGATTCACTCACCTTTCGAAAGCCCTATGAGTGCGTGAGGCCTTTGGGACATTCTTGATCTAAACCATAACACATTAAAAGGAACACAAAAACTTAGGAAAGACCCTTGGTTCCAAAATGTTTAGAGTTAATGCAAATTACAGATTCAAAGATTGATAAAGCATGTATAATGGAAAGAGGAAAAATGAGCATCTAAAATGGATGTATTTGTTTCTCAGAAAAGAACATAATAAATCCACTCAGGGAAAGTTAAATATTTTTTTCACATACACTGAGACTATTAATAAATTTAGCTGATGATAATGGAAATCAATACAGTGCTGAACTTTTCCATTATTATTTTCTTGCTCACATGACTGGCATTTTATAATAAAACTTCAATTATTCATGGAAAGTTGAGATGGATAAGGCATAAGTTGAAACTAGACTTTCTCCTGCAATACAATACATGAGCAGTTTACCAAATTGCCAAGTAACACCTCAAGGCCCATTTTTAATCCATGAAGGAGCCAGTGTGGCCATCCAGATGATGGCCAGGAGTAAGGTTCACCTTGTGTTAGCCTTGTCTCATCACAATAAATTTCAAATGTTACCCGAAATAGCTGTCCTCTTTGTTGTAAGTGACCTACATGCTATAATTCAAACATTTGTACATCCAAATGTCTTGAAGGAGGGCTCTCTGCTTGCCTGAAAAGATTTCTCTCTCTCTGTGCAGGGAAGATGCCTGGAGGACAGAGAAGCCAGTCGGAACATGGTGAGATCACAAGCAAAGAGCACAACTCACACAGCAATCTGCAATTCTCCTGCCCCAGGAGACACATCAACAGTGCAGTCAGTATGTGAGGTAATTGGCATTAATGGGATTCTTCATTTTGAGTTCAACCAAAGAGACTCCTTGTTAACTCTTCACAGTGTAGGAATTGCCTCCTGTCCTCTCCATGCTCTTGTGTATACTAAATATATTTTATATCTGCCTCAGCTACCCATTCAGCAATGCTGGATCACAAGTGAACAACATAAATCATAAGAACTTTAAAGTGAGATGTTTCTGGGTCAAAGTCTGTCTGAATCCCCTTATTATAGTATAAATCTAGACAAGTCTAACTTTTTAGAGCTTAAGTTTCCATGTATGCAGTAGGGTTTGATAATCCCTGTGTCACCAAGCCATGGTGACATGAAATAATATTGTGAGCTCTGCTGGCAGCACTGGCAGTCTGTGGAGAACCGAGAAGATGCCAGGAATTAGAGAGACATGGATGGAAAAGCAGTTCTTTATTGGCAATGTTTTAATTACATTTTCAATTTTATTAACTGATATTGAGTTACAGAATTTTTACATTTAGAAAAACAATTCTTATAGCATAGCCCAGATGCCCAGTGATCCCTGTGTACAGAAAACTTCGAGCTACAGAGGAGGAACATTCCCTCGTGGCTCTATACGTGTCACTTTCAAATATTTGCTCTGCTTCCATCTCAACTTTGAAAGATCCTCTATTGGAACGCGTGCATGATTTCCTTGGAAACCCAATTCTTCTGGTTTCTTGTTTTAATGAAGATGACACTTACTTATATCTCTGTGTATGGAAGTCTCTGTGAAGGATATAGTAAACCTCCTGGCAAGACACTTACACAGTAATCAATAGGATGAAATACATAGCAAAAAATTCAATTGAAAGTTAAAATTATATGGAATCAATAGTAAATGAATTTCAAAGCTATATAGAAGTAAGTAAGTTTCTGATATTTCACATTAAGCTAGATTCTTAGGAGTTGGGACATGATTTGGCTAGTTATCAGAACATTGCATCATGCGAGTGGTGCATTAGTCAGGCAGGGTCAAGAACTCAAAAACAAATGGCTTTTAAAAACGAGGTCGTTGCTAGCATCATGATGCTTTGTGGGAATTCAAACCAACAGAGGTCTCGTGCTACCTCAAGTCAGACTGCAGATTGCAGCAAAATGGGGAGAAAGAATGTGAGCTATTGGTCACCAGTCCTTAAGGCCATCTCCCCAGAAGTGGAAAACTTCTTCAACCCATATTTTATTAGTCAAAGCCGGGCAGGAGGCCACCCCTAACCGAAGGATAAAGATGTATGGGAAGAAGGGAGAATCAGGCATGAATGTCACCTATGAATAAACCCTGCTGTTCTGTTTACTCTCATTCCCTCCTACAGCCAGTCTACACTCGTTCCTTCGCTAAAAATTCCATTTGGCTCATCAGGGGTGTATGGTGATGTCCGCATCAGGGATGTGTGCACTTCATTTTGATCCCCAAATCCAGGAACTGAAAGCACAAACAAAACAAACAAACAAACATAAAGAACAGTTGTCTAGCACCACTGACCAATTCTGAGAGGACAGGTCCCGCAGGCACATGCTGTCCTTGGGAAGACAAGAATACGACACGTCTACCCACCAGCCCAAGAGGCCTGAAATGAACACACAGGGCAGACAGGGGGCTGCGCTCGGAGCTGAGAGGTGAGTGTGGCCTCAGGAGGCCTTCTTTGTCCCACTCTAAGAAGTCTCCTCCTGTGTTCACGCTTTCCACCTTTAGCTCAGAGCGTCTTCTCTTCCATTTTCTCCTTCAACCACAGCTTAAGACACATTGAGAACAACGTTCCCTCAGGAGGGAGGGGAGGAAGAAATGCACATGAGTTTCTGTGTGAATCCTGCCTAGATGGTTATGCGCCCCCAGAAAGGAGCCTCCTGGTTGATCTGTCAAAACCATAACCAGTTTTTTGGGGGCTGGGGATTTAGCTCAGCGGCATCCTGGTACTGATAAAAAGAAAAAGACAAAAAAAAAAAAAAAACCTATAACCAGTTTTCATTGACTTGATTCCAGTAAACTTGGCCACTCCCACATTGCTTCTGGAATGGTCTGTTAGAACCCCATACAGACAGTCCCAACTCACAATGGTTCAATATATATATATATATATATATATATATATATATATATATATATATATTTTACTTTATGGTGATGGTAAAGCACCCATGCAATTATTCTGTGTTTTTAAATTTTTCAGTGAAGTATTCCATAAATCCTGCAAGCTATTAAATACTTTATTACAAAATAGGGTTGGATGATTTTGCTCAAATGAGCTAAATATAAGTATTCTGCACACACTGGCTAAGCTAAACTAGAGTGTCGGGTAGATCAGTTATATTACATGCATTTTCCATTCATGATATTTACAGCCTGAAGTGGGTGATTAGTCAGGACATAACACCAATGTAAACTGAGGAACATCTCTGGTTTTGTGCTTTTCAGGGCAATGTCACTCAATATAGAGACAATTATGTTGGGAGTAATACAGTGATTGTGTCCTTCCTCCACCCTGATTTTAATCCAATTTAAAAGATACATTGCCAATTTCTACTTCTCCTTTTCCTGAAGCATTTTAAGTGGCCGAAAGGTTTTACTATTATTTCAGTGGAAAGCTTTCTCAATATTTTATTACCATGTCAACAATATGATTGTCCACTTTGCCAGGCCCTGAGATTTTAGGTACCCTGTATTTCTTTTTATTTCTGCTTGCGCACTTGTCAATTCTTCCCTAAGACCACCTTATCTTGTAACACCTTATCAAGTTAGCTTACATCAATAAGGTTAAGCCTATTGACTTCTCGAGCTCTAAATCCATTAGGTGCCTTGGTCTGTTGTGTGCAACTTGTTCCTCAGGGCAGGGGAGGATCTGAACAAATGTTTCTCCACTGAATGAGACCCCTCCTTAGAACTTCTTTCATCAGAATGCTCCCTTCCTGCCACTGTCCGCTGTCATGGTAGTGCCACATACTTTATGTTTCTGTCATAACTATATCCCTCTTCTGTGTGGCAACTCCCATATGTGTCAGGATAGATCATGCTGCCATCATAACCAATATCCAAATTTTAGCAGTGAGCATTAATGGTTTATATCTCAATTATATTTCTGTCCAAGAGAGGTCATGGTGGGAGAGATGAGAGGAAGCACTGTACTCATCAGACACGTAGGCTGGCACAGGTGGCACTTCCTGTAGCTCAGTGTAATGCCACACAGTGAGGCTGCATGACCTGCCATGGAGGTGAAGAGGGAGGACACTTGTGCCAGGTGTGAGCATGCTTCCCCCCGAAGTTCCTCATGTGTCTCGGACTCAAGCAAGTCAAGAAAGTCTTAGGCTAGCAGAAGGAAGGTCTTAGAATGTATTGATAATACGTCCCACATAAAGGAAGGGAGAAGGGTATTCAAAGCATGATCTAAGAGATAAAGGGAAGTGTAGGGATCCGTTTGAAGTTGGAGATTGATCACATGTGTGAGGCTACAGTAAGTTCAGCCCTGAAAAAACAGAGAGCCCAAAACAAGCCACGTAAACAGGCTGTTCCAGCTCCAAGAAGGAAAGGGGCCCAGGCTAGCCAGGCAAACAAGTTGCTAGGCAGCGGGGTTGAAATTGATGTTCTTCAGAGTGTATGGAGGATATAGGTAAACGTGCTGCGGTGGTTGAGCAGTTCCTTCTCTCCCATCAGGAGAGTAAGGGCTCCGCCTGACCCCCACCTTATGACTTCTTTATCTTCTCATCCTCTCACTGACCTTCTCCAGGGAACATCTAGAGATACAACCAGTCGCTACATGGAAGATCTTGATTCTTAATTGTCTCACCCACTTTAAGTTTGAAACAAGGAGTTCATAGACTTATTTCTGAAGCACAGACCCAAACTGTCACATTTCTCAGACAAGCTCCTACTCCTATCATTGGCTCCCACGATGTGTCCTGTTGCTTCTGGAACTCAAAATATGCAACAGGGCAGGAAAGAAAACTCAGCTCTTGACACTGTGAAGGACTGGGTTTGGGAGAGGCTTAGATAATCATTAGTTGAACATGTTTTGGGAGCTAGTTCCCCTGAGCACAACAGAACTGTATCAATCTGAGCATTTTATTCTGTTTTTGTGTTTACTTTTTTTGCGTTTAGAAAGGATGCAGAGAAAGGTAAGATGCGTATCATTTTTCCTTGATTAAGAATACCTACCTCTATTACTGTGCTTTCATCTGTTCCTAGATAATAATCAAAACATCATTTTTGAAGAGATATGTTCTGCCTATTTGAAATGGACTGTTCTGTACCTTTGTCCACTTTATAATGTCCATCAAGAAACAACTCAATCCTGGGAACCCAGAACCACAGTTCTTGTTAATTTTTATCCAAGTGTTGCTCCTTTCGGTGATATAATCTAAGCAGATATCTTGATTGGAGGCTGCTGCTTTTGAAGTATTTGATGATAGCTTTACACTTTTGTCACAGAGTCAGTTTCTCATTCTTAAGGCTGTATTATTTTTTCAAAGTTAGGATATTAACCATACTGAAAAAATTTGTGCTTATAACCCCTTATAAGTAAGTTATGAAAGCCCAAGTCTTTATAAAACCAAACCACATGCCTGTGGACTACTCTGTCCTGTAGAAAGCTTTTCTTGTTGCTATCCTTCTGAAGATGAAAGAATTGCATTCTTGAGACAGTTTTCAAGCAAATAGGCAGCTGCCTCTCTTCACCCTCGTAGCTAGTTACGTGTCACTGACATGAGAAGGAATCACTTGCCAAGGCCAGAGACCCTGCCCAGGAGAGCAGCAGCCACCTCTGCAAAGGAAGATGAGCTTCAGAAGTGGTCAGTCTGGGCAAGCAAGCAAGGACATCCTTAGTGAAGTTTTATATAAGATGAAAGGTCAGATAGCTTTGTCAAATCTCCATGTGCACAGAGAAAAGGGGATGTGAGGTTGGGGTTTCTGTGGGTGGGGACATGCTAATCTAGTCAATCAATCATTTAATCAACAATCATCTCCTAAGGAATTTGGGATCTAGACAGTGTCCCAAGCACAGAAAAAGATAACACAGGGCTTTTGTAACAGCAAAATTACATTCTTAGGGGGAGGCGAGTTAACAAAGACATGAACCAAAGCCATGAGTAAACGCTGGGGTGGTGCAAAGGATGAAAGCTTACTCAGAGTTAATGTCCACTTCAGACTCCCAGACGGCCTTGAGGGGCTGCCCTTAACTGAGACCCTTAGCTTGAGAAATCCTCCTAAAGTCGTCCCCAGACTGAAGCCTCTGTGGCCTTTGATTGATGGGATCAGGAACAAGGATAAAAGCAAACAGACGGACATCTGGGCAGGAACTCAGAGCAGACAGAGGAAGACCAGGAATGATCAGGGTGTTCTGTTCAGTGACTGAGCTCAGGACTAATTTAAATTAAAGACAGGGGGCTGGGGATTTAGCTCAGCGGCATAAGCGCCTGCCTTGCAAGCAGGCAGTCGTGAGTTCGATCCCTGGTACCGATAAAAACAAAAAGAGACAAAAAAAAAAAAAAAAAAAAAATTAAAGACAAAGGCCAGAGCATTCACTTCTGAAGGCAGTGCAGTTTGCCGGTGTAGGGACTTGTAGCTCATAGGCTATCTTTTCGTCTGTAACCATGCACTCTGGGAAGTTTCTGGTATGTGGCACCCCAAGTCCCTTACCTCTACATTACCATCTTATAGATACCTCTTCCTGATTCCCCCAGAGGCATTCAGAAAGGATGGAGTTTAGTAACTGTGAGCAGACGCTCTACACAATCTCCCTCTTACCCCAGGTGCTTTACACACGTAAAGAGCTGAGCACGCACCAGGCAGACCCTCTGCACTTATTGTCACCTCCTTCTGGAATGCGTTCCCTCCTGAACCCAGAAGGGGAAAGCGCGTCCTCACCACAGTAAGATCTCCTCCAAAGCGCCATCCTGCATTTAGTGCCAGCACCAGTGCGTGCCAATCCGACACCTGCCCCCAGCCCATTGTCCTATCCCTTTTATTGTTCACAGTGCCTATCACCATGTAAAACATTAATGATCCTGCCATAAATTTACTGTTGACTCCTGCCACCAGTGCACAGACTCCCCACATCAAGAATGTGGCCTCCTCTCTGTGATTATCCATGCCCGGTGTCCTGAGTAGGGACCATCTCTGTGACAGGTACGTAGTGAGCAGCTGTGAGTGATAAGATCAATGTTTAAGTCAGAGTGGTCATGACATTTCTTACTTTCCTGGGCAGCTTTCCTTCTCCTCAAAGATCTGTCACCAGGACTTTAAAATGTGTCCCAGTGCCAACGAGGCCACTTTCAACTCTTCAAAGTAAGACTAGAGGGAATAGCAAGATGTTCCTTGCCTGCGTTTGACTTCTAGCAGAAGTGCTTGTGAAGCTTTGTTTGTGAAGTTTGTTTTCCTTAAAAGCCCAAAGTGTATATAGATTGTGACTGCTTATCATGGTTTATGTTTGTGTCCCCCAGACCTCATGAGTTTGCATTGTTCATATGTGATGGTTCATTGTATAGTACTTGGATTGATGGTGTCAGTGCTCTACCCACATAGGGGTGGAGCCAGGATGTGATGTAATGGCAGGAAGAAGGTGTGTTTTTCTCTTTGCTGGTTTGAGTTTGCTGCTGGCGGCCACCATGAACTGCAGCCCAGCCATGCCTGCCTGTCTTGGAGACAACTGAGTGTGGACTGAAACCTCCAAAAACTGTAAGAAATAAACCTTTCCTTTCCCAATTTTGGGCTTCAGGTATTTTGTCTCAGCAACAAGTAAAAAGTGACTAAGACAGAAATTTGGTACCGAGGAAGTGGGGTCGTTTGCTGTGACTATACCTGGCCATGTTTTTCAAGAGGTTTTGGAAATGGCTTGTGGGAGGAGTTTGGAAAGGTTTGGATATGTTGCCTGGATGCATAGGGCTGGAGCAGCTAAGGCTGTTCTGTAGAGGAGATTCTGGTCAGAGCTCAGGAGACCAGAAAGCTGATAGAAAGCCTGATGGCAAAGACCAGGCTTGGGAGGTTTCTGCTGGGAAGGACTGCATTGGTCGTTGGACTGCACATGCTGTGTGTAATGGCTTAGCAGAAAGTTTGTCTGCATTTTGCTCCTGCCCAGAGACTTTGCCTGAGACTGAGACAAAGGGCAATGGACTGATTAATCTTGAAAAAGAAATTAAAAAGCAACCAAATGTTGAGGCTGTGGCATGGCTATTGTTGGTGGCTTTCAGCCAGCTTTATGTTTTGAATCAGGAGCAAAGAGCCCAGCACGATAATGTACAATGCTGTGAGTGTGGCCCGAAGGAAGATTCCAGGAAGGGTGTGGATTGTAAAGACAGAGTTGAGATTTTGATTCCTGAGGAGAAACAGAGAGATAAGAAATATGGCCCCGGGTCATCCCAGGAAGCAAGTCCCTACCCTGTGCAGCCTCACAGCAAAGATGAAAAATTTTGCTCAGAGGAAAAATCTACAGAGTGCCATGCTCCAGAATGGCGACAGAGGCCAAGTGAGGTTCCAGAATGGCGACAGAGGCCAAGTGAGGTTCCAGAATGGCGACAAGAGGCCATGTGAGGTTCCAGAATGGCGACAGAGGCCACATGAGTTTCCAGAAAAGCGGCAACATAGAGAAGCTTTTCATCACAATCAGGTAAACAGAGCCCTGCGATCCAGGCAACTGACCCCTACAGCCAAGAGAGAGAAAAGCCTGGCTACTGCTTCAGCTAGCAGCAAACCTTGGTGGCATGCACAAGGTGCTGATTTTAGGTGCAAGGAAAATGCACAAATTCTGAGGGTAAGATGGCTTCCACCTCGATTGCAAAGGGCCCGGGAGGCCAAGCAGTGTGTCCCCGAGAGGGCAATTTGTGAAGATGTAAGGGTGAAGCCAAAGGTGCAGTGGAGACCCCAGAAGTTTGGAAAAGCCAGGAACGTGGATGATCCAAGGAAAGCTGCAAAAAGTGAGCAGAGAGTATTTAAGAGAAAAGCTGCGGGAGTTGAAATCGCTGGAAATGCCCTGGGGGTGGAATCACCCAAGGCTTTTGGAATTTGCAACCAGATTGCTTCAGATGCTGAGTGTAGAACTCTAGGACTTAATGTTTGCCCTGCTGGATGTTGGAATTGCTTTGTTTCGAATGCTTTCTATTCTCCTGTTTCTAACTTTTGGAATGGTAATGTTTATCTTGTGCCTTTGCATTTCAGAAATGTTTAACCTTGTTTCTTTTGTACAGGGGCTTACAGTTAAGAGTTTGCCATAGACCTTGGAGGAGACTTGGGACTTGGACTTTTCAGCAATGTTGAAGCTGTTAGGACTTTGGCAACTCTTGGAGGTAGACTAAATGTCTTTTGTATAAAGGATGTACATGAGTCCTGGGGGCCAGGGGTGGAATGTCATGGTTTATGTTTGTGTCCCCCAGGCCTCATGAGTTTGCATTGTTCATATGTGATGGTTCATTGTATAGTGTTTGGATTGATGGTGTCAGTGCTCCACCCACATAGGGGTGGAGCCAGGATGTGATGTAATGGCAGGAAGAAGGTGTGTTTTTCTCTTTGCTGGTTTGAGTTTGCTGCTGGCGGCCACCATGAACTGCAGCCCAGCCATGCCTGCCTGTCTTGGAGACAACTGAGTGTGGACCGAAACCTCCAAAAACTGTAAGAAATAAACCTTTCCTTTCCCAACTTTGGGCTTCAGGTATTTTGTCTCAGTGACGAGCATAAAGTGACCAAGACACTGCTCTATCAAACTTGCTGCTTGACAACAGAAACTTATTTTCTCATGGTTCTGAAAGCCTGAAATCCAAAACCAGTACTAACAGGGTAAAATCAAGGTATCTGGAAGGCCAAATCCCTCCAGGGGCTTTGGGGTAAGAGTACCCTAGCCTCTTCTGTTTTCTGACGGTTTCCAAGATTCCTTGACATCTGCTTTGTACAGTCATCAGGGTCAAGGTACTGAAATCTCTTTCTCTTCTCCATCTTCACTTCTCAGACTGTGTGGGTCCTATTCCAAAACTCTCTGCTTCCCACATATGTAATTGCATCCAAAGGCAACCTAAGTAGTCCAGGGTTAGCTCTCCACCTCGAGAATTTTAGTTATGGCATCTGTAAAGAGTATTTTGGAGGAACATCAAAGGATACTAGGCAACATTCACAAGTTTCAAGGGTTAAGATGTGGATGTATTTTAAGAGGAGATTTTTCAATCTACCATTCTAGATTTTGTAATTTCTACTTAAAAGGCCATTTGTAAAACATTCAATCATAATTTCAAAGACAAAATTAAATTAGGAAACAATGATTAACTTTTGGTATTCATATGTAAAGTTGTACAGTTTTCTTCTCTAAACACACTTCTCCAATTATATGTATTTCTTGGAACTACTCTGGGTTTAGTATAGCATCCAATGTGGCAAGATTAATTATAGTGCCTCTCTGAAAGCTACCACTGGTTCAAAAAAAAAGCCAAATGCAATTCTATCATATCACAGTACAAATGAAATTTGTTTTTAGGATGGAAAAATGTCTAGTGTTCTGGGGTATATATATATATATATATATATATATATATATATACATTTTTTCACAATAGATGAACTATCTGTAATTTGAGGTAATACAAACATCTCTCATCTTTTTAAAGAATTGATACATGAAAAGTGAACTGTATTATGCAAGTATAACAAATGAATGGTGGTATAAATATATCTCTAGTCATTATGAATTGTGTGTTTTACTTTTAAAAGAGCACTGTTTTGCATTTATTCATGGATTATGAATGAATGAGAGACATTATTCATTGAGTACATTTATGCTGAGGGAGAGCAGAATTCTTTCCTTAATAACAGATTTCTTTCTGTGGTACAATCACATAAGAAGAAATTGAGAATGTCATGAATCATACTGAAGACTCAAACATAGACCCAAAGAATTTTCAACTGCCCTAGATTTTAAATGAGTTTAGAATATTTTCAAAACCTCTTTAAAATGCAGTTATTTGAAATGCCATCATGTGTTATTTTGGCTAAAAAGGCATTTATATTGAGAGTTGTGAAGAAAAAGAGAAAATGGTGTGATGTACATTTGGTTGAGATTATTCTAATTCCCTTCCACCCTTGAAGTGCTGAAATTCTAATGCTTTCTTTCTCCTGATCTTCTTAAATATCTCACATCCACATTCTCTCCAGTTCTAGGACACGTATGTTTATTTGTATATTTGAATGAGATGAGAGTGTAGCTCTGACATACAGCACTTAAATAGCATGTTTCAAGGTCCTGGATTCAATTCCCAGCACCAGAAAATAAAAAACAAAAACAAAAATACATTGTCTGTGTGTTTTATCATTCCCAAAGTTGTACCTGCTCTAAAGAAAGTAATAAATTGTCGTGCCCCAAAGCAAGTTTTTCTTAATCCAAGTAAAATAGCTACTGAGGTGAGGAATTTTATTGTTGATTATCATCACATGTGAGTTACTTTCATTGAGTTTCAGAAGGAGTTGACTTGTAAGTTGATTCATAGCCCCAGCTGGTGATTGAAATGTCTTCTGTGTGATGATATTATAATTCCCCACAGAAACAAACCTTGTCTGTGCCCAATGCTGCCTGCTACAAGGCTTGCACAGGAAGCATTGCTAGGGCTCCTAGAACAGATCATAGACGTCTCACAGTGTTCATGTCCTCGGAAATCAACATTCCAGCATGTAAACCACTGCAAAGCACTGTGATCTCATGCTCACTTTGGGAGATGATCCTCCATGATGGTAGCTGTCGCACCTCTGAGCCTGCCAATATTTGTGGGTCAGCCTTCACTTACAGGCAAGTGTTGTTAAGTTGATAGAATTACCCTCAGACACCTTTCTTGGAGTCCAAGGTGAAGTGCCCACAGTTGCTGATATGCTCTGTTCTACCTGAAATTAATTCTTATGACAAATAGAACTGTCAATACAGAAGCCTGGGAAAGAGGATTTCTGGAAAGACGAGGGAATGGTGAGGAGCAGAGAAACAAATTCTCTGATATTTGGAATCCAGACGCTGGAATAAGCACCATGAGGAAAAGGAGGAGGAAGCGGGGTCCCCAGGTCCCCACAGGAATCTAAAATACCAAGAAAATCCAATGAGGAGACTGAAAACAAAATCACAGTGCTGAAGAAGGAGTTCCAGCCAGCAGGAGGCACACAGAGGCTGAACAAGTTCAGCTCCAGTCTCACAGCCAGAAATCAGCCTGAACTTCAGTGGGACTAAAGGTGCAGGCTGCATGGGGTTACCACCTACAGGCCAGAAATCTGTGGCTGGCTTTCTGGGATTAATCAGCTCAGTCTAGACTCCGTTTGCCCACTCTGTCTACCAGGGATAACAGAGACATGCCTGGAAGTGCACATTTCTCTTCTTTTCTTTTTTCTTAATTATTAATACTTTTTTTAATTTCAAAGAGAAAAAAGCACATAGAAATTAGAAGTCAAATGAACAAAAATAACAACAAAAGCCAAATGATGATGACAAAATAGTAATACAAGACTTCAAAATAAGATGATAGGTGTTTAACAACCATTCTATTACGCATTTTTATCTTCAAAATATTTGCTCAGGTTATAGATACAAGCATGCAAAATTGATCAAACAATATGATTTCTCTTTTAGCTGTTTCTTTCCCTTTCACTGTATATGGCAACTTTTGGATCAACTCTGATTTATCCCACTTCACAGAGACTATTTGCATCCATTTACCTATAAAAGTCTGAAGAAGCTTATCCTTTTTATAGCTGAATAGTACTCCATAGTATAAAAATACCATATATTTTTTTATCTGTTCCTCAGTTGATGGGCATTTAGATTGTTTCCAAGATCTGGCTATTACAAATTGTGCAGCTATAAACATCGGTGCACATATATTGTTGTGCTATGATGTTTTCAGTTCTGGGAAAATATCCATAAGAAGAATAGCTTGGTTGAATGGAATCTGTAATCCTAGTTTTTTGAGGGCTCTCCACACTGATTTTCACAGTGGCTGTACCAGTCTACACTCCACCAACAATGTGGATGTGTCCTTTCCCCCCATAGTTCCTCCAGGATTAGTTATTGGCTGATTTCCTGATGTTAGCCATCCTTCCTGGCGTGAGATAGAATCTCAGTGTTGTTTTAATTTGTATTTCTCAAACGACCAGTGATGCTAAACATTTTTAATTTATTTATTTGCCATGTAGTTCTTCATCTGAGAATTGTGTATTTATCTCATAAGCCCATATTTAGATTGAGTCTTTGCATTTGGAGGCTCTGTGGGGTTTTTTTTTTTTTTTTTTTGAGCTCTTTATACATTATAGATAGAAGTTCCTTGTCAGAGTGACAGTTGGAAAAAATATTTTACCAACACATTGGTTTTCTTTTTACTCTGTGATTTCCTTTTTTTCTTAGTTTTTTTAATGTGAGTTTGAACATTGTCTCTAGTGTGTTGCTGTTGTTCCTCTGTTCTGTTCACGTTTTTATTTCTTTCTTTTCTCTTTCCCTCCTGTCTTCTTCACCGATTTCCCAAAGTTCTTGTAATTTTTCTCCACCCTCCAAACTTACTATTAATCTCTTATTCTTCTTCTATTTCTCTATTTCTTGCCTACTTACCCTTAAAATTTCTCCCCTGAGGGTAATGCTGCCATATTGAAGGTATATTTACTATGTACAATTTTTGATATGTTGTATATTTCATTACATAACCACAAATCTGGCTCATACTGTTAAAGGTGACAAATTAATAGTCTCTGCAGTTAGTCATGATCTAGGCAGTATCTGATGAAGTTTATTACTTTCTGTACTACTTTAATCAAGGTGACATAATTATTCTAATCAGAAGTTCTTCCTGATATGCCATGACTGAGATTGCCTGAGGGTCATAAACAATACATAATCCAGTGCCAAAGAATCAGGGGGTAGGCCAAATAGCAACTTCTCGTCCCCCAAATATTGATGAGGTAAGATCTTGCAACAGACTCAAAACGCAAAAGCTAGATACTTGGAAGACATCTCTGAGAAGTACTCATTTCCAAAGAGTTCTTGATACTACCAAAAAAGATACCTACCATAAATAATTTACAAGCAATAATGCAGGAATTAAACTTTAAAAAAACAGAAAATGAGAAGACATGGGAGGAAGGTATGACCTCCTATTTCCAACTCACTAAGGCAAACCTAGGACACAATGAGGTGTAACGAGTTGAAAGCCATCAATCCGCACACTTTGATGTGGTAACAAAGGTATTCGCACACACAGATCAATGGGGCTGTAGAAAAAAAATCAAATCGGAATTAATTTCACAGATAATTGCAGAGATAGTGTTGATAATGACATGTTTAGTGACTCTAGAGCTGATAGATTAAAAAAAAGAAGCCTAGGAAAATGATGGAAACAATGAATGCCCCACATAGAAAAGAATTCAAATCCAAGAAACAGATTAAAATGAATATCCAGGAGATTAAAAATTATACTGAAACTAAATGTTGTAAAATGAGCCACTGTGAGAACAAAATATCAGATATGGAAGACAAGATTGTGCTTAGCGATTATGATGAGAAAGATTTCTTTAAAATAGCATTGGGTCCCATCACATCCCAAGACTAGAACACATCCACAGGGTTGTTTATAATAGAGAAGAAAGGAAAACTTGAATGTCTATCAAAACAATGGGCCTATAAATTAATATTC